CGGTAATCGGAAGGTCTGGGGTTCAATTCCTCAGTCGGGCAGTGGTCTTTTTCCGTTCTGTCGTGATATAACATCTCACTGGGTGATTACGGGGCGTAACAATAACATTTAGTTTTGTTATAAAAGAGCGTAAATTTAATTCTGGTTTTCTATGAAAAACAAAAAGTTTGAAAACTAAGCACACGTATTTTTTGTATAAGATTTAAAAGGTAATAAATCAGTTACAAAATTTTTTCTATAAACCAGAATATCAGAAAAGTATGCATCGCTTTTTTTCCATTTTGCTTTGTCACTGAGAAAATTCATTTTCTCTAAATTAGCAGCGAAAAAGTGAAAATTCTGCCCATAATTCTCAATTTTCTCCACCAGAACACAGCTTTTATGCAATACAAATACCATATTCGGAATCAGTGTCACAACTGAGTCGAATGATATATATTTCAAAATGTTTCATTGAGTTTCATTTTTTGGTGAAAATGTTAGCAATTTTGCTATGTGAAAATTTAGGAAAAATTAAAGTAGTCGAATAGGATAAAAAAGTATATCATTCGACTCAGTTGTGACACTGATTCCGAATATGGTATTTGTATTGCATAAAAGTTGTGTTCTGGTGGAGAAAATTGAGAATTACAGGCAGAATTTTCACTTTTTCGCTGCTAATTTAGAGAAAATGAATTTTCTCAGTGACAAAGCAAAATGGAAAAAAAGCGATGCATACTTTTAAAGCTCGTTTAATGGCGGTTCTAATGAAGGAAAAAAATCGACTTCATCTCTTCACAAAAAAGCTAGATAGATTTACAAGAGAGGCATGTACGATTTTCAATGGCCTAATCCCCAGAACCAGACTCAGTCGGATTTTGAGTTTGAATTCAATTAAACATCATTTTTATATTCAGTTTTTAATGCTGAATCCAAAACATGTAGCTTCAAAAGTTGAAAGGAACTGTGAACGGGAAAAAATTCAGTTTTCTTAAAACTAACGGATTTTCGAAAAAATGGGTCATTCAAGTTTTTCAACTATCAAGAATTTTTTTCAAAAGTTAAAAAACACTTTTTCTTACTCAGTTCATCGCGCTCTACCGAACCATATATAAAAAGACGAAGAAAAACTTTTTTACTGAAAGTTCGAATTGCCGGCACCTTACCGTCTACCTTTGGCGCACTAAACAACGACTATATAACTAGCTTCATGAGTTTTATTTTATTTTGAATTCTTGAAAAGAACGTTCAGCAGTTCCTGTTCTTAGGAACGAGAACGGCTAACCAGTTACCATTCAAAAGAACTGAACCAGAACTGTTTCACCCCTATTCCCGAGCAATAAAACTAAATGTAGAGCGGTGCTACTGTCAGAAATATTCCAAATATTATTCTAAATTAAACATTGAAATTCGCAGACATCTTTAGTTTAATTTCTTTCAGCTCTCTGAACTTTTGTTTTTGTCGAATACGTTAGAAATAATTTTTATGGGTTTTGGTCTCAGAACGAAGAGTCATTATTAAGAGTGTTCCTATAAGACATACACTGAACATAACGTTCGCTCCGTTCTATATATTGAAGTATTATACAAACAATGTGTATTTTTCGTTTGTCTCAAAATGAAAAACGTCATTTTCAGCGTAAGTCTTCTAGGAACTCTCCCAATCAAGATTGTTGTGTACCAAGGTTATTAGGCGAACTTAGGCGAATCAAAGGCGAGAAAACATGGAGTTGTAGTGAAAAAATAGTAGGTTTTGACGAGAGTAGATGGAGCTCTGATGAAAAAACAGTAAGTTTTGGAAGTCCCCCTTCGGTCGCCGTTCGCAGCCAGGATAGGTGAGAAATGTTGTGAACCTCTCTGATTCCACGGAAAAAGCGCACAAATATAAAGCTAAAACGTTTTCTGGACACCTTCTGAAGATCCCAAGGGGGACTGCAAGTATGTCTGACCGATAAGTCATGATAGACTATCTATATTCTCTAACTTTTATTATCCGTAGATGACCTTTTTGTGTTATCAAAATCGACCTATTTGTGGCCTACATCTATCTCCCAACTACAGAAAAAGTTTGCTTAGCTTTTTTTCTCTCTGCATCAGTAAATATTATTTCAGTCATCTCTTTAAATATTTTCTCTCTCGTGGTTAAAAAGGAATTTTCTATTTTTCCTTTCTTCTGATTGGCTTAACCATGGAATATCTGACAACCATTTTTCCGTATTTTGCGTACAGACACACACAGGCTACACAGAGAGACACCCATTTTGTAAGACCCTAGACTAAAGTCAAGGGAACAATTTTAGGATAGAAAATGCCCCCATGAATGAAAATATTGTGAAATCAAACACTAAAATACAGTCGGATGAAAGGTAAGAAGAGAGCCCGAGTTCGTGAAACTGTCAAGCGTACGGCAAAATTTTCGCGTGCATCTCAGAAAATATTTCAACTTTCGGCATATCGAATGGTGTATGATATGTTGAAATTCTCTTTTTTATTCATAAAGATATTGTCATTTTAATCTCACCGGACATTTGTATCTCAAAAAATCTCACGAAACATTTTTCTAGTAAAAGTGATTTTTCTCAGGAATGACAAAATATTTTGGGCTTCAAATTTGGGGATATTCTCTACATCATCGTAGGAAAAAAGGATAAGAAAATCGTCGAGAAAACTTGAGTGTGAACTGAGATTTCAGAAAAACAAAATCGAAAATTTCGCGGGACATTTAATATGTGAAGCTCGTTTCTAGAAAAGCAATTGTCACTTTTACAGTAAGGAGAGCATTGATCTTTCACTTCTTTTATCAAAATTATTCCCAAACTGAAGACTATCTTTTGGCTATTTTTCATAACGATTACGTTTAGTTTTAGCTGAGATACGCGAGATTCAATCTCACGGGACAGAAAAAGGCCAAAGTATTTGTAACAATTTATTTGCATAGAAAATTGTCTAAACCTAAACTATTAATATTTTTCGAGAAACTTCTGCTTCAAGTTATTCATAAGAAAGACATTTAGAACTTATTCAGTCTTTAGAAAAAAATTCATGTTTCAATGGTGGGCGGTGTTAAAATCTGCACCTGCGACAATGCAACCATTATACATAAACTAATAGATTTTTTTCAGTCACTCATTTACCGTGCTACGTAAAAGTTGGTTTATTACTTCGATTAACAATTTCCTAGAGGGTTCTCTATAGAACAAGTATCTTGATAAAAAATTTTCGTGCTTTTCAAGCTGAACTGCACAGTATTCCATTAAATTTTTGAACTACTCTGCTTGAAGTTTAATCCAAGGAAAAGATCTTGCAAAATTTGCCAGTGACAAGACCTGTTATCAAACAACTTTCTACAGAATTAAACCATTAGATGTAATAAAATTTGAGTGGACTGAACATTTGAGTTATTGATGGGTGATAAACGAAGTTTATTTCATCTCTGTTTTCATGTATATATATGAATGAAAAATCATTTTGTTGTGCGTTCATAATATTCTATTTGTACACTCCTTGAAAATGAAAATATAAATTTTCAAAACGTCGCAATAAATAAATATTCAAATGACTTTATATAAAGCTGCTGTAAAAATCTTACTTTTACTTGAGTGGACTAATTGATCTTCTTATGAGTCTACGTTCTTACGAAAGTCGAGTCTGATATTACATGTTTGATTTGTGATTGAAACACGGATGGAAGAAATAGACAGTTAGATACATAGAAGTACCTTCTTCAATGTTCAACGGTGTTCACCGATCAGCAATATTTTCATTCGCTTGATTCACCATTATTAACTGTGCATACTCATTAAGTGTGGACTGTTGGAACAGCTGTGCTATACTAACGTTTTTCGTGTTCAATTTAAAGTGAGTTTGGTGAAAATTATACAATTTCATGAGAAGAAGAAAATTGCCTCCTAACCAGAAGAAATTTGAATTCATCGATATTATTTTCTGTTTAAAGACTTGATACCATAGATCGTGTACTTCACGCTCTAGTTTGTTGCTTGGTTCTATATAATCGTCGTCAACATTTTCTTTGGATCCATTCTTGTTTCGTCGACACTAATTTCTTGCTCGTTTCGTCGACACTTTTTTTATCTTGATTCATCGACAAAATGTTTTTAATCAATTAAACTTGATTCTTGTTTGTTTCACTTTTTTTTATCCGTTGTAAAACATGGAATTATAGTTGCAATTATTAAAATGTATACTACAATTTAAAATTTGAAAACAGTTGATAAAATTCAATAGAAAAGATCAACTGAGCAACGGATTTCTTTACCAAAACTAATAGTGTACAGAAAACAGTTGTAGTTGATAATAAAATATGTATAAATATACTTGTACAGCAAACCTGAGGGCTCACAAAATCATCAACTTATCAAGAATGCTACCTATCACTTACATTTTACTGTATTATATGTTTTCCATCGTCGACAGCAAACGTAAAAAAGCAGTTTTAATTTTAAACGGTTATCGTTATACACAAGATCGGGTAAGAAATAATAACACATATTGGAAATGTGAAGATCGTTCATGTACTGGTCGTGCATCACAAAAATGTTCGGATGATCCAAAAGAAACACAACAACATAGTCACAGTCCTAACCAAGATCAATGCAACGTTGAAGAATTTACAGCAAATGTAAAGAAACGCATTAGAGAAGAACCAGAACCAGTAAGAAAAATATTTAGACAAGAATTAGTTAAACTGCAAACAAAAAATCCTGGTCAAGTTCAGTTAATACCTATGTTTGAATAAATTAAAACGTCGTTATATTCAGCACGAAACGAAAGTTTCCCTCCACCACCTAAAACTTTGGCTGATGTGAAAGTAGATGGTAAGTGGAATCAAACATTAAATAATGAACCGTTTTTGTTACCAGATACTCAAAATCTAATATTTGGAACAATAGAATCTCTAGATGAATTAAGTAAAAGTGAGCATATATTAATGGATGGAATATTTCAGTCATGTCCTGTTCCATATTATCAAGTTTATACAATACATAGTGTGAATGATGGTCTATCGTCATCAAAATTATACTCATTACTTCCTCGTAAAGAGAAAAACACTTACATTTCTTTATCTCAAGATATCCAAAACGTATGCTATCGAAATAGTATTACTTTAAATTCAAAATTTGTCACATTAGATTTTGAACAAGGTGCTATATCTGCATGTGAATTATTATTTCCAAATGCCAAGATCAAAGGTTGTAATTTCCATTTTAATAAATGTTTCTACATAAAATTACAAAATTTAGGTTTTCAGTCTGCATTTATTAATTCTAGTGCCAATGATGATCCGAATGAAATTAATGTTAGAAATCTTTACAGAAAAACTTCTGCAGTAGCATTTATGCCACCAACTACTGTGAAAGATTTATGGAGTCAAACAATGGATGAGTATGATACTATTAATGGAATCACGCCTTTTTTTGATTATGTCACTGAAACTTGGATTGAAGATAGCTTATTTGATATTTCTTTATGGAATTATTATGATTTTCCCAGTTGTCGAACCAATAACAATGTTGAAGGTTGGCATTATCGACTTAACTCATCACTTAATAATGTTGCTCATCCCGGTTTTTATACATTTATCCAATCAATCCAAAATGATCATGCATATAATATAGCCTTGAAAAAAATTTGTACAAAGCAAAATAGTTTACCGCCACGTAAGAAATTATATGTTAATCGTAATCACCGTTTACATAATTTAGAAGATAGATATAAACGACACAGTATAAATTTAAATGACTTTTTGTGTAGGGTATCAAAAACAATAGGTGTTAAAAAGTTTTGATCTTTTTGTCAAATGTTTTACAAGACTATATTGTATGCATGATCATTTTGAAATAAAAACGTTATAATTGCTCAGTTGATCTTTTCTATTGAATTTTATCAACTGTTTTCAAATTTTAAATTGTAGTATACATTTTAATAATTGCAACTATAATTCCATGTTTTACAACGGATAAAAAAAAGTGAAACAAACAAGAATCAAGTTTAATTGATTAAAAACATTTTGTCGATGAATCAAGATAAAAAAAGTGTCGACGAAACGAGCAAGAAATTAGTGTCGACGAAACAAGAATAATTTAATTACTGTCGACGAAACAAGAATACCCCTTTTCTTTGTACAGCTTAGTGAAATCAGGCAATGGCAGTTTCTTTCGATCTAGTTTACCATTCTGATTCAATGGAAAGTCACTCATCAAAATAAAATAAGATGGAACCATGTAAGAAGGTAAATGCTGTTGACAATAAAGTTTAATCTGCTCTTCACTGGATTGTTTAAAGTTATTATCATCATCGTCGGAACTGAGGTAAACTTGAAGATAAGCTACTAAACATTCACTCTTTCAAAGAGTGATAAGAGTCTTTGTTTGTCCATTGACGACGCACACTGTTACCACACAATTTTTAACTATCAGATTGTCATACTGTAAAAGTGTCATTTCTATTTCAGCGACTTCTATACGTTGACCACGTAATTCTATTTGATAATCTACCCGTCCTTTCACTATTAAACGACCCTTAGAATCGATACAGCCTAAATCACCTGTAAAATACATTAGCGTTTTCTGTTGTTGTTGCCGTTGATCACTACAGTACTTGCTTGGCACAAGATATTGCCTTTTATGATTGGAACAGTTGATCTCTTCATGATATCCATCGAATACTCCAGGTCCTAAAAGCAAGAAAAATGCTTTGTCATCAGTCATTCTGTAAATGAAAGTTCTTCTTCTCTACTCACCGTCTAGATAAATTTTTCCATCATTTTCAATTGAAACCAATTGTAAATAGTCATCTAAAACATAGACTCGCTCATTTGTAATCGGTTTACTGCACGGTATATTATTGTGCGGTTGTTGTTCGTCTAAATCACTCGCTATGACTGTATGGTAAATCGATTGGACTGTGCATTCTGTTGCACCGTAAAAATTTTGACATTGCAGAAATGGTATGTTTTTTAATAATTTTGATAGACTATATGATGTCAATGGTTCACCTAGACGACGAAAATAGAGAGTCGAACAACTTAACGGAGAGAACGAGTACTTACCAGTAGACCAAATCGATCGAGCAGTACGCAACTTGTGAAAATAATAGCAGTTTCTGGACTGTGACAGGTATTCGTAGAGAAGTTGTATCGTCGTCGGTACGAGTCCAGTGACTGTCACCTGTGTTCGCTCTACGACAGATGTTAAATAGTGCAAATCAGTGTTACCACTTTCTCGTCGAAGTAACATCAAACTGGAGCGTATGATCAGGCAACCAAGAATTTCTTTTACATGTACGTCGCAAACGCTTGCAGAAACTTGAAAAATAATATCCTGAACAGCGATTGTAACAGAATGATTCAGCGAGTGTATATGTGCGACGAATTGTTGATGCTTGATTGGGACCTGAAAATAGAGAGCAAATGAGGATAGTTGTATGACTTCATGTAGGTCAAACAATTACCGCTTTCGGTACGCCAGTTGAACCACTCATAAAAATAATGTATGCCAGACTTTCAATGGACTGCTTTGAAGTGATATACGCTATGGCTATGTCAAAATGGTTCTGTAAATAAATAATTATTATATATATCAAGGAAGCGACCATGATGGACCGTGTCTCTAATTTATGATGACGAGAACGACAACTAATAAGAAGCTTCCTTCGTAGACGAGTGAGAAAGCCCGATAGATGCTCCCACCTGTTCGGTAAGACAATGTATTCCACTCAAAGGATCTTGATGATTTAATGAACAATAGACGGCTCCACATAAAGCAGACTGGAGAAGGACTGTGTCAGATTAAAATGTTTTAATCGAGCTATACAAGTTAAGTACACATCCACCGGTACTCTCATTTATCATCTCTAAACGCTTTACGGTAATTAGGTATCTGATAAAGCTTTTGTAATGACTGAAGATGATCAGTTGCAGTGTTTGAGAACGTAGGGATGATAACAGGTGTAACAAGTTTTAGCATTGATAACAAAAATAGAGTATAAACGAAAATAAGACTAGCAGGTTGTAGCGTAGCATTTGTAATTAATGTTTGAAGAATATTAATTAAGCCTAAAATTTTTTTCAATTTGGTAAGACGAAAACGTCGAAGATTATCTTGTTGTACGTCCATTATTTCTTTGTGTTATGAACTTCGTCACTTGACAGTATTTTTTATTCTTATTAGACTCATATACATAATCTGTATATCATATCGTCCGCTACGCGACAATGATGAAGCAATTATTCCGTTGTTCATTAGTAAAACGCAGTGCAGACGATCGGAAAGTAAATTGCATATATTTTTGTAAGTTTCTACTCAATTTTCAGTTTCATTCTAAATTCATATAACCAAAATTCACATTCATTCTCGTATTTTTGATCATTTTGTGAAAAACTATAAACGTGTTTTAATCGTATTAAATATGAGCAGACTACGAATTTCTGTAGAAGAACAAACAGCTATTTTTGCTTGTCAATAAAAGTTTATAAATATACAAAACAAACGCGTCCGATCGGTCCGCTGATACACTTCGATTTTAGACTGTTTAATGGAAAGACTATTGCCTGCCGTTGGTATCATTCTATTAAACAATGTTTATAGTGACACTTTTACACTTTATTGTCATATATTAAATCAGAAATTGGCCGCTATCGATTTATCTGTATATTGCATTAATTCCCCCAAAGAACATGATTATTATTGAGAATCACTCAAAACCTATGAAACCAATCCAATGTATTATCGACTCCACCATTAACCACAACAATTAGCATTGTTCATCATCGTGGAAGAATCTATTTGCTAACAAATATGTTAGATAAACAGAATCGAAAAATACAATTTACAATACAAGACTTGCGTGACCAGCTACTTACATCTATTTACAACCTTTGTTGATATAGATAATTTCGAACTTGATTTAGAAAAGTTATTAGAGAACGACTATATTCAATATCTAAATAAAATGAATAAAATTATTAAACCATTAAAAAATCGTCTATTAGACAGGGAACTAGATAATCAAAATAATAATCATTTTTCGTTATATTTAAAATTTCTTGAATTATGTAAATTACGTCAAAAACTAAAGAAAATTGATTTCTATGGTTCAGATAATGAAACTATATTTAAGATCACACACGATGTACTCGAATTCGAAAATGAATTAAATCCGTTATCGGAGTCACCAGCGAAACGTAGTTTGGGTTTTATATTCAAACAATTCATTGAAATATTAAAAGGTGAACATATGTTTATGAGTATTAGTCTATTATCGTCTGAATTAAAATCTGAATTTTTACGTTTATTAAGCGGCGATCGATTAACAGTTGCACATTCATTTCTACCATTAGAAGTATTTTGACGTAATGCAATGGTGTGTTATAATCATACATTAGTTGAAAATCAAAATTTAATATTAGAATCTTATATAAAGTATATTATTGCTGGTTTTCCATTCGAATTAATTGATTGTGATCAATTTCATATTCAAGAAAAAGTTTTAACTGAAGTTATGAATTCTTTTACTAATTAACGTATTTTAGTAATTAATATTATTGGACCATAGAATAGTGGTAAAAGTACAGGATTAAACTATATGTTATTATTAAACTATAGGTACGTTATTTGAAACACGTGAAGGTCGTTGTACACGAGGTGTATACGCTTCATTTGTTAAGTCAAATATTCAAAATATTGATTATATATTATTAATCGATACCGAAGGTCTATTATCAGTTGAAACAAGTGATAAGGAATATGATCGTCGACTTGTGTAGTTCTGTTTGGCGGTTTCGCATTCAGTTATTGTCAATATATTGGGTGATGTAAATGAAGGATTAAAATATATGATTACACTATGCACTGATTCATTAAAGCAGTTAAAAGTCAATAAAGTACCAAAACCAACTGTACAGTTGTGCTGAATCAAAAGACCGATCCAAATAGTAGAAATCATTAGGAAGCTATTAATAAGATTGTTGCTGATTTAAAAGATGAGAGTTTAGGTGAAACAATTGCTATTAACGGATACGTGAACGCTTATCAAATGATCCAGGCAGTGCATGTCTTCTATGTATTGAACCTGATTTTCTTGAGAAAACACAAGAATTAGTATCAAAAATTGTAAAATCAGCAAAAATTTGTTACGATAGTGCAGATAATGCAAATTTTACTCCGCCATAAGTACTTTTTGAAACTTTTGAAGAGAAAGAAAAGTCTGGATTGTTTGCATAGTGCACTGTTGTTTTACTAAGTTTTAGAACTCATTTAAAATTAGGAAGAAGTAAAATATGATTTATAGTTGAATATTGTTCTGATTAAGATATCTGCTTACTTTCAGACAATGGCTATCGAAGTCGATAACAATATTTGACATATTACAAAAATTTCCCGATCTAACGTACTTTCGCGATATCAACGGAAAAATATAAGTACATCGAAGCCCGGCACAAGTAATAGAGAACATACGGATGACAGAATACGAAATATCATTGGTAAACTTGCATCAACTAATCTTTCATCTCAACGACGATATCAAATGATTGAAGAATATTATAATTTACCTGAAGTTTAAATCAGAAAATTGTACCAGAAACAATTTAAAAATTATGAAGATAATCTTACTCAAGAATTAGAAAATCTGTTTAAATTAGAGAATACTTCTGAACGTATTCGTGAACGAAGTATAGCATTTTTAAAACGACAAATTACAGGTACAAAGGATGCTTGGTGTACTGCTACAATTCAAGCATACGATAGAAAACGGAAGTTTTGGTACGTGATGGTGCTGCTGAATTAAAAGCATCAATTGATTCTGTAATAGAAAATGAAAAAACATTAACGAAAGATGCAGCTAAGAATAAATTTGAAGAAATGTGGAAGAAGAAGATCGATTATATTGAAAGTAGTTTCAATGTCGAGGAACGAATTCGAATGGCAATAAAATTTGGAAACAAATGAAATACTCAGTATTTTAATGTAAACGCTCAGTATCATGTAACTTGCAAACAGTAAATAAATCAAACTATCAGTATAAATTAATAATTTGTGCGTGTGGGAGGAGTGGAGAGTGTGAAGTTTGGCTGTAGTTGTGGACTAGAGTGCGGGGTGAGGGCGAACCGTGGAAAAACCACTTTGGAATCGTTAAAGGTACCGAAATCGTTTTTTCTCAGTTGTAGCAATCGGAACTGCAGCTGGAAACGTGATTCCAGGTAATTTTCGAGGCCGCTAAGCTATACAGGAAGGCACACATCCACACCCTTAATACTAAATCTTTTTAAATTAATTACTGAGCTTTTCAAACTATTTACTGAACAAAAAATAACTTTTTACTACGAGAAAAATACTGAGCAATTAAATACATGTCATAAAATTTGTCTAATCAAATTATAGTATATTTGAATGATCATCACTGCCAACACATGAAAATATTATTTCAGTTAGATTTCAAACTATTAAAAATTTGATAGTATCAGAAAATTGGATTGAATTAATTCAAAAATTAAGAGACGTTTTTTTTATGAATTAATACGTCTTAAAGATAGTGCTATTGAACAATTTGAGATTATTTAAAATAACATCGAATTTTACACTATCCACAATTTTAAATTTTAAGTTCATAAATCAGGACGTGTTAATTAATCATCTACCTGAAAACGAGAGAGAAACTTTATCCGATATGTGTCAATCGCCGAATGGTAGTGGCAATCGTCAAACAAATTAATAAAAGGTGTTACAACGGTTGCATCATTCATGACAGGCGGCTCATCTTCAGCATCCAAAATTATGACAAGAGCAGCACCAAAAGCACTTGAGATTGATTTCAGAAAACGAATAAGAGATGCAATAATAACTGAACTTAGAGTTGATCCATTACATTTATCAAACATTTTACAATTAGTAGCATTTTTCGATGAAATTTATCAACAACTAACGAAATTAGTTGAAGATAAAGGAGTTTTACATCCAGCGGAAATTGATTTGATACAAAAAATTGCCAATTTCATTAATGCAATAATAAATGATATAAATCTTGAATTAAATGTTTTCGGTCTTTCATTATCAATGAATGTCGCTTCGGTCGTACATTCAAATGCATTTCTGTTACTTACAGCATTATATTATCGTGAACAACAACATCTTTTTAATGAACAGATTCATACGTTAACTAGGCAAAAATCATCGCCATTAAACTATTTCAATAGTATGATTGTACCGGATGCAGCATTTGACAATGAAAACGGTGAACATTTCGTTAAGGGTCTAGTAAATACTATTCGACGGAATTTAACATAAAGTCCACAGAAGATAATTTCAAGTACACTAAAAGTGCAACAAAATTTAAATCGAAAAGAATTACAAGTGATATGTGATGATAAATTACGAACTGCAGATAACCAGTGGTTATTAAAATATCCTCGTGGAAAAAAATAGTTGCACACAGTATTTTTAAGATATTTTCCTTATAAAAATATACTTTTACAAAAACGAACGCATATTCTGATAGCGCTTGGAATTCTCTACAATTCTGTATATTTATATCTTGTCTTGCATTTATTTGCTGAAAAACAAATTGAGTGCAATGACGGTCCCCGCATCGTCAGATTCCCAGAAATTGTAATGAGTGTGGCATCTCAATATTTTCTATTTTTCTCGTGTTTCTTTAGGACCCAAGGGTTAATGTTTTTTTAAAAAGATGCGCCGCGAAATGCTCTATAAAACCATACCTAACCTTTAATTTTAGAGCTTCAAGCAAGAAAACTGCGCAGATTATACGAAAGACGAAAAAAATGAAAACTTTGAAAATCTGTTTTTTTCCACCTGGACGTTTTTCTTTTGCTACTATTTCCGTAAAAAAAGGGTTGCGAAAGTGAGAAGTCAGATCTTTTTGTACTTCTGAATGTGCTCTTTCTCGTGGTCTGTAAAAAATCTTTTAGAACTGATGGTGTGGAAAAAGACTAAAAAAGTAGCGAAAAAATGCACCTTTTTGATACTTGTCAGTTGGGGGTACCGTACCTTCGCTGTACTCAAATTATTTTTCAGCAAATAAATGTAAGACAAGACATAAATATATAGGATGATAGAGAATTTTAGGCGCTATTAGAATATATAATTACTTTTATAAAAAGGAATTTCTATAGTGATAATAAATTTAAAAAGCAAGTTAAAGAAATAGTAACAAAATGCAGTGCGTGGGAATCTGATAATGTGGGGGCCGTCATTGCACTCAATTTGTTTTTCAGCAAATAAATGCAAGACAAGATATAAATATACAGAATAGTAAAGAATTACAAGCTCTATCAGAATATGGGGTCACTTTTGTAAAAGTATGTTTTCGTAAGGAAAATATCTTAAAAATACTATGTGCAACTATTTTTTTCCACGAGGACATATTGAACAGCCAACGAATATGATTGTAGATGAATTTCAATTGATATGGAAGACGATGGAACGAACAATGGAACAACAGATACTTGATGAGAAGAATCAACGAAAAGTTATACTTATTAATTTCTTTCATCTTATTAGATTTATCATCTACTCTAATTGGTGAAAGATCATTATTACAATTCGTTGATGAATTGTTGCTATCATCTGGTGGTGGTGCAGAAGAAAATTTACAAAACAAAGGACAATGTATGATATTAATACTGTATTCATATTTAAAAAATGTAAAAATTGAATCGGGTACAAAATTCACAGTGTATAATAATACGTACACCCTAACGAAGAAAGGTGTCAACTTTTTTCGAAAGTTACCATAAGCAGATTTATCATTGATTAATCTAGTTAATTTTATGAATAGTTCCGAAGGGAAAGATAAAATGACACTAACATCAATTAAAAATTTTCAATTATTCTTAGGGAGTATAGAGAGATGTAAAGCAAGAAATGGGGAAAAGGGCAAATTTTTCAAAAGAAGGATCCTACTCACTATGAAATTAGTGTATATTCAGGCAACTTCCCAGATTAAAAAGCTGATATTGTTAGCTAATTTCGAAAATAGATGGAAACATAGGTAATTGACCACGCCGAATCTCGTGGCAATATTTGTTTTTCAAAACAGTTTCAAAAGCCTAGGGAAAACCTATATTAGGTGAAATAACTTATTTTTGTCTTTTTTTGAGTAATATTAAAAAAGTCATAATCCAGTCAAGATCCATCCAAATTACGCCAGAATGCCAGGATGTACTCTATTTTACCTGCTTAATATTATAAAGTTCAATGAAAGCTTTAAAATCAACAGTAAATACTTTTGTTTTTTAAAAGGTTTTCTAGAAATCTTCCGAAGTACAACAATGTTTTTTACTACTCTCAAGTAAAAAGTGAACAGGTAAAATAGGGTACATCTTGGTATTCTGACATAATTTGGATGAATCTTGACTGGATTATGACTTTTTTAATATTACTCAAAAAAAGACAAAAATAAGTTATTTCACCTAATATAGGTTTTCACTAGGTTTTTGGAACTGTTTTGAAAAACAAATATTGCCACGAGATTCAGCGTGGTCGATTACCTATGTTTCCATCTATTTTCGAAATTACTACACCCAAAGAAATATTGATCCTGGACTCTCACGTAATCCGATGCCACGCGTGAACCAGGAAAATTAAGAGTTAGCATAGTTCCGATTTGGAGAGGACACTTGGGACTCTCTATCTATAAAAATAACTGCTAGATTTCTATTTCAGTTTCCGGAGATCCAAAGTGGTTTTCCAAAGATATCCTAGAAAACCAGTCTTCCTAATGGTTCCGCAAAAGTGTTTTGCTTATGAAAACATAGGCTAAACTGTCTTCTTTCGATTGTTGAAAATCGCAAGTCCCTATCTTTTATCGTTTTGAGTTATTCGGACAACAACAAGGACCTTGAGTTTTGACGCTGGTGGTAGAAAGGAGAGAGAAAGCCAAATGCTGCTAGACGAATGTTCTCCGTAGTATTGGCTGTTTAGTACCCATACCGTTATCATGATAGTTTTCGGAGGTTAACTAGCATCTCTTTCTGTAACTCTCGTTCAATTAAAGTAAAGTTTCCTTCACTTTTAGGAATTTACATGAATTTGTGTGAATTTGGATGACCTTACATGAATTTGAACAGTTGAAGTTAACGGGCTAAATTCAACTGTTTTCCCCTTGTACACTCATCCAATCCCGTCCCAGCGGAAAGACTTTCGTTCTGAAACACTCAATCTCGATGAAATTTTCAAGATTTGTTAAATAACACTTAACTACAATACTTCACGTAAGAAATAATACTTGAGATAAAAATTTTAGATTTATACCTTCAATGTTTTTCATGTTTTTCTTGTTGATCGGTATACTGGACATTTTTCGAAAGTTCATATTGTTAAATAGGTTTTTTCTTCTGTTTGCACACAGAGTTCCCAAAGTTCATTAGCATTTTTCTTCATCAATTGAGCAAATTTTAAATAGGTTTCTAAAGTTCCTTTTGATAAATGATATTTTTCTATAAAATATTTTGCCAATTTGTTTCGTCGTTTCAACATTTTCATTGGATCCTCAAGTGAGAGTTGCCGTTTCATTTCTTCCTCCGTTCTAGTTTCTGATCCAATTGATCCTTCGATCATTCTCCAATAATTTCTACCATTAGAAATCGGCGTACCAACAGTTGTTGATTAATTCTTGTTGCATATGGTGATAGTCGATTTTCGAGAATAGTTCTAAAATATTTGTTGGCATCTTCTTGTGTAAATGATGGCGTAGTTACACCATAGAAGTTGTCGTTCTCCTGTTTGTCCTTGTTGTTAGACTGATGTTTGCTACAACGGTACGCATAATATTCACATTTACTCAACCGAGTAAAAGCACTTGCAAACCGTCCACGCTAGGTGCGAAGAAATTTTTCTAAGTTTTTTTCTCGCATTGGGAATATGGCATCGTGTTCACATCACCAGCCTTTTGTCTCCAATAGACGTGTTGCATAACAAAGTTGATCCCGATTATATCTCGGTAAGTTACGAAGTGATTCTAGAACAAACCTGCGGGTGAACCGTCCCAAGCGACAAATCCCGATTTAACCGAGATGTATTTTGCCATGGGTTATTTTCGATGCTGATCACGAATCTGATATTCATCTTGGCCCATATGGCTTTCTAGTTTGGATGTCCAGAAACCATGTATGAAATCCATCATGAATAATTGAACGAAAAAGATTCTGATATGGTCACTTTGTAGAGCAAGTTAAATTACACAGCTGCACAAGTTTTGAGATCAACAGAACAAGTTCTCTTAGAGATATGAAATTTTTACTTTCATCGCTCGTTAAAATTATAGACATCATAGTTTTTCTTACATTAAAAATTTTGTATCTCTGAGAGAACTTGTCTATCTGCTTAATTTAAATTTCTGTACAAATTCGTCATATCAGAATCTCTTCACTCAATTATTCAGGGTAGATTCCCAGAGACCTGGTTTCTGGAGATCCATATTAGAAAGCTATGGGGAACGAAGCAAATATCGTCCATCCACCTTTCGAATTTGGACCTACCTAAGCATGAAATTCATAAGAAATAAGCTAGCTGCACTTGCTGAAGAAGCGGCCGCTTCTCCAGCTAGCTAAAAGAGTAAAATTTAGCGGGTGCAGCTAGCTGCAGCATAGCTGCATAATATTATTATCATTGGTATTCCATTATTTATATATATATATTGCTGTAATTTTGTTATTTTTATGAGTGTTTGCAGTTGTTTCAGGTGCTGTAGACTTCGTTTCTAGATATTCAGCAACTAACTAAAAGCGAACGCCAGTGACTAACATATGCCACTGCACACTGGTGCAGACTAAGTTTTCTGTCTGTTATTAAACAATTACAGTCTCGAAGAAGGTCGAATGCCTAAGTTTTGTTTTCACATCACTTTTAGAAATAACAAATCATTAAATGAGGTTTTTCTTTCATTTTCTACTTTCATTCATAGGTGATGAAAATAATCGATACAGTTGTAGTACAGGCCATCAATTGCGAGCATTTGCCGGTATAAAATTTGAAGTAACAAATGAAGCTAGTTTATATCAATGTAATGAAATTGATAATAATAGTCACATTGTTGTTAAAGGTATTAGAAAAAATTGTGAGGAAATGAAATTAGATTATCAGTTATGGGATTTTAATTTAATAACAACTGCTGATGAATCAGCCAAACTTAACAGTAAATTTTTGTAAGGATGTGTTTATGTTTGAAATAAAACTGGTAGAAATATTTATGAAAAATTTGATATGGAATATGTTACAAATACTACACCAAGTTCATTACCAGAGTTTTATCATTATATTTTATTATTGGACAGTTCTGGTTCGATGAAAGGTGGTTAATGGAAAAATTTAATTGCTGGTGTAAACGAATTAGTTAATACACGACGTACAAACAGTGATGATGATCGTATAACAATTATAACATTTACTAATATAGCAAAAATGTTTTGTTCTAATCAAAAAATGAAAGATATTGATACGAAAAATATTGCTTTTACCGATGGTACAACAGCATTTGGTCCCGCATTTCAATTAGTTATAAAGCAATAGAAACGAATAGTAATGACGCTGTGGTGCCTAGTGTTGTTTTAGCAACCGGACAGAAAGATATAAATTTATAATACATTATTGTATTGTGAGTGATGGTGAAGCTGAGTATCGGGATACTGAATTAAATCATTAATCAACAATAAATTTACAAATAAAAGATTTTTGGATCGTAGCATTAGGTCAAGGTCAAATGACCATTTTAGAACAGATTGATACTGTTACATATACCAGTTAAAAGATTCAAGCGAATTGGTTCGAATTTATGCAGAAATTGCACAAAGTTAAACAAAGTATGATAAAGAACCGTTTTTTAGATCAACTTTTAACTGTATATCTAGATTTGTTTTACTTTAAGACTATCATCGTCCTTAGTCTACACCGGTTTTAACCCTAATTCGCTGATTGAGAAAGTGCAACAGAAAACTGTAAAGTTAAAATGAATATCCATTTTAAATTGACGGCTGAATTTGAAATGAATATTCATTTTTTGACTGTAATTCTACAACACTAAGTAAGAAGATATCTGGATGTGTATATCGATGAGCATTTTGACGTGAAAAAGAACTTACACACAGACATAAAGCTATGATAGGTAGGTTAGCAATGGCTGTTCAAGTTTGGATTTGGCAAGAGGAAGGAAGGGATGAAAAAGCTTCTATGTTTTTTACTAAATGTATGAAATGTATTTTTCGTTGTACAGCCTTGGAATGTAAAACATTTTCTTTTTATATACGAATATGCTTTTATACCTTTTTCTTGCTGTTGTTTTAATCGAAATTTTGTTTATGATAACTGTACTTTTCTTTGCATTAGTTACACAATTCTTACGGATATTACTTATTCTACCGGATTCTCCACTGTGGGTTTTCACGGTATATTACACTATATTCGACAGTATACATCAACGATATCGCTTTTTTCCCGTTCTCTTTAATATTTTTTCTTTCTATGCACACTATATAGAGAGCTGTAAAGCAAGAAATGGGGAAAATGGCAAATTTTTCAAAAGAAGGATCCTACTCACTATGAAATTAGTGTATATTCAGGCAACTTCCCAGATTAAAAAGCTGATATTGTTAGCTAATTTCGAAAATAGATGGAAACATAGGTAATCGACTAATTTCGAACATGTTCGGATTGCTCCGTACGGAATATTTCTTTTAATGTGTTTTGGGTGTTAACTATTGTAGGGTAGGTAATATGATTGCGCTGCCGGCTTCTGATATACTTTTGTCTTCAATACTCCTCTTTCAATACTAGCTCTTACATCTAGGTAATCGATAGTTCTTCCGATTTCATACGTTAGTCTTATGGCAGAATCTTGTTGGTTGAGGCCTCCTTTACCAAAGTTACCAGAGCCTGCACTGCTCCTTCTTGCGGTATCATAGTATAAAAGTCAGTGATGTCAAAAGTTATTAACTGGCTGTGTTGCGTGATTTTATATTTTTCGAGCTCAGAAATAAAATCTAACGAGTTTTGTAACGCATAGTCGTCTGTTGCTTTATCAAAGATAGGTCTCAGTAGATTGTCTAGATAGTTAGACATTTTTGCTCTAGCTGATTGTATTCCGGCCATAATTGGTCTTAAAGGTACCCCTGGCTTGTGATCTTTCGGGTTGTAGTATAAGTGCGGTAAAGCGGTCTGATTGGCTCCGGGGGCTAGTCTGTTATATATAGTTTGTGTAATTTCTTTATTCCTTAACATGCTTTGCAGAAATATACGTGTTTTTTCAAATACGTGGTTAGTTGGGTTTTTTAATACTTCCTTGTATGCCTTAGTTTTGGACATATATTGATCAGATTTTGTCATGTATTCATGCGGTTTACTTGCGTGAAATACTTTAGACTTGTCTGTGTTTCGGAAAATGATCTCTCCTTTTTTTGCCTTTGTTGTAATTTTCTTACACTTTTCGCCGCCTCAATATCAATTTTTTCTTTTTTGATGCTTGCTTTCAGTTCTTGAAAAATGACTTTAGTAAATTCTCTCTACTGCCTGCCTTTTTTTTGTGGCTGTTTGACCTATTATTTTATTGAATTTTGTAGTTAGTTTCTCGTTCAGAGTTTCACATTCTTTTCCGAGCCGTTCTAATGCAATATGTGATGATGACAAAACAAATTTAGGGCCATTAACTAGCATACGTTTTTCTCCCGGTTGTAATACCAGATAGTCATTGTTGGCCTGCGGCGGGAACGGGATGGTGAAAGATCTGACTGAGTTCTGTCCCTTTTCCTCTCTTAACGATCGTTCATGCTTTCGGCTTTCTCTTCTAAAAAACGTTGCCGTTTTGTCATTCTTTCTTTACTGTCACTTGCCATCCCTTCAAATATTTGTTTTATTAACTCCTCGTTGTTTTGATTATTTTCTAGGACGGCTGTCATTTTTTCGTTCACCTTTTTTTTAATTTGTTGCAGTTCATCCTCTCTAGCTCTCAGCATGACCTCTGTTAATTCAAGTTTAGCTTTTGCTATTATGTTATTCCACTTTGTGGTGTATTCGGTATAGGATGGTAACTTGACGGATGCGACTAATGGTATATTCATTGCGTTTAGAGTGGCTGGGGGGATTTTTAGGCCTATTTTTGTTTGTATCTTATGAATCTGTTCTCGTATGCTGAGTTCATTCTTTTTTAATGTTTTTAATTCGATGATACTTTTTCTCGCGCTGTCATTTTTTCCGTTATCCGTTACTTTACCGTATCTTATCCGATTCTTACCATCAGCTTGCAGTTGTTCTATTTTTCTTTCAACAACCTGTTCAATGACCTCTATGCCTTCCTTACAGTAATCGTATAATTCACAAGTGAGAACATCATATAATCTGTTCTCTTCTAGGGCGAAATTCACCTGGTCGCTGGAGTTTAAAGTGTTCAAAAGTTTAATAACTTTTAAAATGGCAACAGACGATTTTTGATCTCTTTCTTCTTTCTGTTTGGTAAGTAAATCAAACTGCTTTTGTATATACGCTTTTTTATCTTGTGGGTTCTTTAAGAAATGGAGTCTGAAAATTTCTCTTGGCCACAGTGGAGTATCTTGACTAGATAGCTTTAAATATTTATGCCAGAGTCGTTTCTTTTCGGCTGTTTTTTTAGCATGGTCGAATGTTCTAACCAATTCGACAAATAAACCGTCATCCTCTATGTTTTTACAGGATAATATTCGAATTTCACTTAATATTTTCTCCTGAATACGAACAACACTGATTCCTGAATGAAAACAACATTGAGAAGTCAGATGAAAGCAGGTAAAGAAAGAATCATACACGGAGGGTCAGGAGTTACTTTCCTGTTAAAAGACCGATACTGAGTAGAACGGCTTCAAAGTTTTGCCTTGACAATACCTCTGACCCAGCATTTTTGTCACTTAATTCCACTAGATCTGTCCAAAAGTATACCTGTTTGTACTGCGTATAGAAAATCATTGCTACGCACTATATTACCAGGCAACACGCTTAGAGAAAATGTTTACAAAGCAGTCAGAGTCCCCCAGAAGAAGTAAACATAAGACAGACATGATCATTACCGTTGATCTTTGGAGCAATCTCTATGATAGCTAGTATCTTTTCCACAGCCAGCGGTATCTTTACAACATACCAAACACAAAAACTAGCAGCTGATGCGTCTAATGCGTGGGCAATACTAGTGCAACACGCAAAGCGCGGTTATATATCGGCTACAGGAAAATGGTATACAGGAAGCTAAAGTACTCCAAGACTGTGTGTACAACATTCAAGCGATTGAAAGTGCCATGACGGCAGTTGTAAAAGATCAAAATGTACTGAAGAGTGTTATTACCCGCATGTTAAAAAAGAACGTAGCTAACGAATGAGACCTATCTTTGATAAAGCAACAGACGACTATGCGTTACAAAACTCGTTAGATTTTATTTCTGAGCTCGAAAAATATAAAATCACGCAACACCGCCAGTTAATAACTTTTGACATCACTGACTTTTATACTATGATACCGCAAGAAGGAGCAGTGCAGGCTCTGGTAACTTTGGTAAAGGAGGCAGGATACGACAAGTTAAACGGGCTAAAAATAAAAACAATAGAAAAGTTAGCAAGATTCGTCATGAAAAATAACTATTTCTACTTTGAAGGTAAATTTTACCATCAAACGAAAGGTGGAGCGATGGGGAGCCCCCTAACGCTTACGGCAGCTAACGCATGCATGAAAATCTGGGAGCGCGACATCCGAGAGCTGCAACGGGCTGAAAACGAGCTGTATATGAGATATGTGTTTTATGACATCATCATGAACGAGGGACCAGATAAAAAGACTACTATTCGACCTCAACCAGCAAGATTCTGCCATAAGACTAACGTATGAAATCGGAAGAACTATCGATTACCTAGATGTAAGAGCTAGTATTGAAAGAGGAGTATTGAAGACAAAAGTATATCAGAAGCCGGCAGCGCAATCATATTACCTACCCTACAATAGTAAACACCCAAAACACATTAAAAGAAATATTCCGTACGGAGTAATAGTAAGGGCAATCCGAATATGTTCGGAATTAGACGATTTCATAGAAGAAACATATAAGATAAGAGTTCGATTGCCATTAAATAAATATCCACCAGTTTTTGTAGAAGGCGAAATAAAAAGACTTTTTAAGGACATCAACGTTCAAAACTGTGAGCATATGTATCCTCTAGTGGCTAACTCTAATCGTAGAGGTGAACCTGTAGTGAGAACCAACTCTCATTCTCATATGTTTATTTGAAGCAAATGAACAGCTATATATAGTACAAAGTTAAACAAGATTTTTACAAGAGGTGAGCATGAGTTACATAAGAACAGAAAGAGTTGGGAAAATACCTTGCGGAAGGAAACGAAAACAAAGAATGAAACAAGAGTTGCGCAAGAATGGTACAAGAGTAGAATGGAGAGAGAATGAACCTTATGAGCAGCCGGGGAAGGCAGATCCTAACAAAAACTGGGATAATCTCTATCAAAATTACAATAGCATACGTAAAAATCTTGTTTAACTTTGTACTATATATAGCTGTTCATTTGCTTCAAATAAACATATGAGAATGAGAGTTGGTTCTCACTACAGGTTCACCTCTACGATTAGAGTTAGCCACTAGAGGATACATATGCTCACAGTTTTGAACGTTGATGTCCTTAAAAAGTCTTTTTATTTCGCCTTCTACAAAAACTGGTGGATATTTATTTAATGGCAATCGAACTCTTATCTTATATGTTTCTTCTATGAAATCGTCTAATTCCGAACATATTCGGATTGCCCTTACTATTACTCCGTACGGAATATTTCTTTTAATGTGTTTTGGGTGTTTACTATTGTAGGGTAGGTAATATGATTGCGCTGCCGGCTTCTGATATACTTTTGTCTTCAATACTCCTCTTTCAATACTAGCTCTTACATCTAGGTAATCGATAGTTCTTCCGATTTCATACGTTAGTCTTATGGCAGAATCTTGCTGGTTGAGGTCGAATAGTAGTCTTTTTATCTGGTCCCTCGTTCATGATGATGTCATAAAACACATATCTCATATACAGCTCGTTTTCAGCCCGTTGCAGCTCTCGGATGTCGCGCTCCCAGATTTTCATGCATGCGTTAGCTGCCGTAAGCGTTAGGGGGCTCCCCATCGCTCCACCTTTCGTTTGATGGTAAAATTTACCTTCAAAGTAGAAATAGTTATTTTTCATGACGAATCTTGCTAACTTTTCTATTGTTTTTATTTTTAGCCCGTTTAACTTGTCGTATCCTGCCTCCTTTACCAAAGTTACCAGAGCCTGCACTGCTCCTTCTTGCGGTATCATAGTATAAAAGTCAGTGATGTCAAAAGTTATTAACTGGCGGTGTTGCGTGATTTTATATTTTTCGAGCTCAGAAATAAAATCTAACGAGTTTTGTAACGCATAGTCGTCTGTTGCTTTATCAAAGATAGGTCTCATTCGTTAGCTACGTTCTTTTTTAACATGCGGGTAATAACACTCTTCAGTACATTTTGATCTTTTACAACTGCCGTCATGGCACTTTCAATCGCTTGAATGTTGTACACACAGTCTTGGAGTACTTTAGCTTCCTGTATACCATTTTCCTGTAGCCGATATATAACCGCGCTTTGCGTGTTGCACTAGTATTGCCCACGCATTAGACGCATCAGCTGCTAGTTTTTGTGTTTGGTATGTTGTAAAGATACCGCTGGCTGTGGAAAAGATACTAGCTATCATAGAGATTGCTCCAAAGATCAACGGTAATGATCATGTCTGTCTTATGTTTACTTCTTCTGGGGGACTCTGACTGCTTTGTAAACATTTTCTCTAAGCGTGTTGCCTGGTAATATAGTGCGTAGCAATGATTTTCTATACGCAGTACAAACAGGTATACTTTTGGACAGATCTAGTGGAATTAAGTGACAAAAATGCTGGGTCAGAGGTATTGTCAAGGCAAAACTTTGAAGCCGTTCTACTCAGTATCGGTCTTTTAACAGGAAAGTAACTCCTGACCCTCCGTGTATGATTCTTTCTTTACCTGCTTTCATCTGACTTCTCAATGTTGTTTTCATTCAGGAATCAGTGTTGTTCGTATTCAGGAGAAAATATTAAGTGAAATTCGAATATTATCCTGTAAAAACATAGAGGATGACGGTTTATTTGTCGAATTGGTTAGAACATTCGACCATGCTAAAAAAACAGCCGAAAAGAAACGACTCTGGCATAAATATTTAAAGCTATCTAGTCAAGATACTCCACTGTGGCCAAGAGAAATTTTCAGACTCCATTTCTTAAAGAACCCACAAGATAAAAAAGCGTATATACAAAAGCAGTTTGATTTACTTACCAAACAGAAAGAAGAAAGAGATCAAAAATCGTCTGTTGCCATTTTAAAAGTTATTAAACTTTTGAACACTTTAAACTCCAGCGACCAGGTGAATTTCGCCCTAGAAGAGAACAGATTATATGATGTTCTCACTTGTGAATTATACGATTACTGTAAGGAAGGCATAGAGGTCATTGAACAGGTTGTTGAAAGAAAAATAGAACAACTGCAAGCTGATGGTAAGAATCGGATAAGATACGGTAAAGTAACGGATAACGGAAAAAATGACAGCGCGAGAAAAAGTATCATCGAATTAAAAACATTAAAAAAGAATGAACTCAGCATACGAGAACAGATTCATAAGATACAAACAAAAATAGGCCTAAAAATCCCCCCAGCCACTCTAAACGCAATGAATATACCATTAGTCGCATCCGTCAAGTTACCATCCTATACCGAATACACCACAAAGTGGAATAACATAATAGCAAAAGCTAAACTTGAATTAACAGAGGTCATGCTGAGAGCTAGAGAGGATGAACTGCAACAAATTAAAAAAAAGGTGAACGAAAAAATGACAGCCGTCCTAGAAAATAATCAAAACAACGAGGAGTTAATAAAACAAATATTTGAAGGGATGGCAAGTGACAGTAAAGAAAGAATGACAAAACGGCAACGTTTTTTAGAAGAGAAAGCCGAAAGCATGAACGATCGTTAAGAGAGGAAAAGGGACAGAACTCAGTCAGATCTTTCACCATCCCGTTCCCGCCGCAGGCCAACAATGACTATCTGGTATTACAACCGGGAGAAAAACGTATGCTAGTTAATGGCCCTAAATTTGTTTTGTCATCATCACATATTGCATTAGAACGGCTCGGAAAAGAATGTGAAACTCTGAACGAGAAACTAACTACAAAATTCAATAAAATAATAGGTCAAACAGCCACAAAAAAAAGGCAGGCAGTAGAGAGAATTTACTAAAGTCATTTTTCAAGAACTGAAAGCAAGCATCAAAAAAGAAAAAATTGATATTGAGGCGGCGAAAAGTGTAAGAAAATTACAACAAAGGCAAAAAAAGGAGAGATCATTTTCCGAAACACAGACAAGTCTAAAGTATTTCACGCAAGTAAACCGCATGAATACATGACAAAATCTGATCAATATATGTCCAAAACTAAGGCATACAAGGAAGTATTAAAAAACCCAACTAACCACGTATTTGAAAAAACACGTATATTTCTGCAAAGCATGTTAAGGAATAAAGAAATTACACAAACTATATATAACAGACTAGCCCCCGGAGCCAATCAGACCGCTTTACCGCACTTATACTACAACCCGAAAGATCACAAGCCAGGGGTACCTTTAAGACCAATTATGGCCGGAATACAATCAGCTAGAGCAAAAATGTCTAACTATCTAGACAATCTACTGAGACCTATCTTTGATAAAGCAACAGACGACTATGCGTTACAAAACTCGTTAGATTTTATTTCTGAGCTCGAAAAATATAAAATCACGCAACACAGCCAGTTAATAACTTTTGACATCACTGACTTTTATACTATGATACCGCAAGAAGGAGCAGTGCAGGCTCTGGTAACTTTGGTAAAGGAGGCCTCAACCAACAAGATTCTGCCATAAGACTAACGTATGAAATCGGAAGAACTATCGATTACCTAGATGTAAGAGCTAGTATTGAAAGAGGAGTATTGAAGACAAAAGTATATCAGAAGCCGGCAGCGCAATCATATTACCTACCCTACAATAGTTAACACCCAAAACACATTAAAAGAAATATTCCGTACGGAGCAATCCGAACATGTTCGAAATTAGTCGATTACCTATGTTTCCATCTATTTTCGAAATTAGCTAACAATATCAGCTTTTTAATCTGGGAAGTTGCCTGAATATACACTAATTTCATAGTGAGTAGGATCCTTCTTTTGAAAAATTTGCCATTTTCCCCATTTCTTGCTTTACAGCTCTCTATATAGTGTGCATAGAAAGAAAAAATATTAAAGAGAACGGGAAAAAAGCGATATCGTTGATGTATACTGTCGAATATAGTGTAATATACCGTGAAAACCCACAGTGGAGAATCCGGTAGAATAAGTAATATCCGTAAGAATTGTGTAACTAATGCAAAGAAAAGTACAGTTATCATAAACAAAATTTCGATTAAAACAACAGCAAGAAAAAGGTATAAAAGCATATTCGTATATAAAAAGAAAATGTTTTACATTCCAAGGCTGTACAACGAAAAATACATTTCATACATTTAGTAAAAAACATAGAAGCTTTTTCATCCCTTCCTTCCTCTTGCCAAATCCAAACTTGAACAGCCATTGCTAACCTACCTATCATAGCTTTATGTCTGTGTGTAAGTTCTTTTTCACGTCAAAATGCTCATCGATATACACATCCAGATATCTTCTTACTTAGTGTTGTAGAATTACAGTCAAAAAATGAATATTCATTTCAAATTCAGCCGTCAATTTAAAATGGATATTCATTTTAACTTTACAGTTTTCTGTTGCACTTTCTCAATCAGCGAATTAGGGTTAAAACCGGTGTAGACTAAGGACGATGATAGTCTTAAAGTAAAACAAATCTAGATATACAGTTAAAAGTTGATCTAAAAAACGGTTCTTTATCATACTTTGTTTAACTTTGTGCAATTTCTGCATAAATTCGAACCAATTCGCTTGAATCTTTTAACTGGTATATGTAACAGTATCAATCTGTTCTAAAATGGTCATTTGACCTTGACCTAATGCTACGATCCAAAAATCTTTTATTTGTAAATTTATTGTTGATTAATGATTTAATTCAGTATCCCGATACTCAGCTTCACCATCACTCACAATACAATAATGTATTATAAATTTATATCTTTCTGTCCGGTTGCTAAAACAACACTAGGCACCACAGCGTCATTACTATTCGTTTCTATTGCTTTATAACTAATTGAAATGCGGGACCAAATGCTGTTGTACCATCGGTAAAAGCAATATTTTTCGTATCAATATCTTTCATTTTTTGATTAGAACAAAACATTTTTGCTATATTAGTAAATGTTATAATTGTTATACGATCATCATCACTGTTTGTACGTCGTGTATTAACTAATTCGTTTACACCAGCAATTAAATTTTTCCATTAACCACCTTTCATCGAACCAGAACTGTCCAATAATAAAATATAATGATAAAACTCTGGTAATGAACTTGGTGTAGTATTTGTAACATATTCCATATCAAATTTTTCATAAATATTTCTACCAGTTTTATTTCAAACATAAACACATCCTTACAAAAATTTACTGTTAAGTTTGGCTGATTCATCAGCAGTTGTTATTAAATTAAAATCCCATAACTGATAATCTAATTTCATTTCCTCACAATTTTTTCTAATACCTTTAACAACAATGTGACTATTATTATCAATTTCATTACATTGATATAAACTAGCTTCATTTGTTACTTCAAATTTTATACCGGCAAATGCTCGCAATTGATGGCCTGTACTACAACTGTATCGATTATTTTCATCACCTATGAATGAAAGTAGAAAATGAAAGAAAAACCTCATTTAATGATTTGTTATTTCTAAAAGTGATGTGAAAACAAAACTTAGGCATTCGACCTTCTTCGAGACTGTAATTGTTTAATAACAGACAGAAAACTTAGTCTGCACCAGTGTGCAGTGGCATATGTTAGTCACTGGCGTTCGCTTTTAGTTAGTTGCTGAATATCTAGAAACGAAGTCTACAGCACCTGAAACAACTGCAAACACTCATAAAAATAACAAAATTACAGCAATATATATATATAAATAATGGAATACCAATGATAATAATATTATGCAGCTATGCTGCAGCTAGCTGCACCCGCTAAATTTTACTCTTTTAGCTAGCTGGAGAAGCGGCCGCTTCTTCAGCAAGTGCAGCTAGCTTATTTCTTATGAATTTCATGCTTAGGTAGGTCCAAATTCGAAAGGTGGATGGACGATATTTGCTTCGTTCCCCATAGCTTTCTAATATGGATCTCCAGAAACCAGGTCTCTGGGAATCTACCCTGAATAATTGAGTGAAGAGATTCTGATATGACGAATTTGTACAGAAATTTAAATTAAGCAGATAGACAAGTTCTCTCAGAGATACAAAATTTTTAATGTAAGAAAAACTATGATGTCTATAATTTTAACGAGCGATGAAAGTAAAAATTTCATATCTCTAAGAGAACTTGTTCTGTTGATCTCAAAACTTGTGCAGCTGTGTAATTTAACTTGCTCTACAAAGTGACCATATCAGAATCTTTTTCGTTCAATTATTCATGATGGATTTCATACATGGTTTCTGGACATCCAAACTAGAAAGCCATATGGGCCAAGATGAATATCAGATTCGTGATCAGCATCGAAAATAACCCATGGCAAAATACATCTCGGTTAAATCGGGATTTGTCGCTTGGGACGGTTCACCCGCAGGTTTGTTCTAGAATCACTTCGTAACTTACCGAGATATAATCGGGATCAACTTTGTTATGCAACACGTCTATTGGAGACAAAAGGCTGGTGATGTGAACACGATGCCATATTCCCAATGCGAGAAAAAAACTTAGAAAAATTTCTTCGCACCTAGCGTGGACGGTTTGCAAGTGCTTTTACTCGGTTGAGTAAATGTGAATATTATGCGTACCGTTGTAGCAAACATCAGTCTAACAACAAGGACAAACAGGAGAACGACAACTTCTATGGTGTAACTACGCCATCATTTACACAAGAAGATGCCAACAAATATTTTAGAACTATTCTCGAAAATCGACTATCACCATATGCAACAAGAATTAATCAACAACTGTTGGTACGCCGATTTCTAATGGTAGAAATTATTGGAGAATGATCGAAGGATCAATTGGATCAGAAACTAGAACGGAGGAAGAAATGAAACGGCAACTCTCACTTGAGGATCCAATGAAAATGTTGAAACGACGAAACAAATTGGCAAAATATTTTATAGAAAAATATCATTTATCAAAAGGAACTTTAGAAACCTATTTAAAATTTGCTCAATTGATGAAGAAAAATGCTAATGAACTTTGGGAACTCTGTGTGCAAACAGAAGAAAAAACCTATTTAACAATATGAACTTTCGAAAAATGTCCAGTATACCGATCAACAAGAAAAACATGAAAAACATTGAAGGTATAAATCTAAAATTTTTATCTCAAGTATTATTTCTTACGTGAAGTATTGTAGTTAAGTGTTATTTAACAAATCTTGAAAATTTCATCGAGATTGAGTGTTTCAGAACGAAAGTCTTTCCGCTGGGACGGGATTGGATGAGTGTACAAGGGGAAAACAGTTGAATTTAGCCCGTTAACTTCAACTGTTCAAATTCATGTAAGGTCATCCAAATTCACACAAATTCATGTAAATTCCTAAAAGTGAAGGAAACTTTACTTTAATTGAACGAGAGTTACAGAAAGAGATGCTAGTTAACCTCCGAAAACTATCATGATAACGGTATGGGTACTAAACAGCCAATACTACGGAGAACATTCGTCTAGCAGCATTTGGCTTTCTCTCTCCTTTCTACCACCAGCGTCAAAACTCAAGGTCCTTGTTGTTGTCCGAATAACTCAAAACGATAAAAGATAGGGACTTGCGATTTTCAACAATCGAAAGAAGACAGTTTAGCCTATGTTTTCATAAGCAAAACACTTTTGCGGAACCATTAGGAAGACTGGTTTTCTAGGATATCTTTGGAAAACCACTTTGGATCTCCGGAAACTGAAATAGAAATCTAGCAGTTATTTTTATAGATAGAGAGTCCCAAGTGTCCTCTCCAAATCGGAACTATGCTAACTCTTAATTTTCCTGGTTCACGCGTGGCATCGGATTACGTGAGAGTCCAGGATCAATATTTCTTTGGGTGTAGTAATTTCGAAAATAGATGGAAACATAGGTAATCGACCACGCTGAATCTCGTGGCAATATTTGTTTTTCAAAACAGTTCCAAAAACCTAGTGAAAACCTATATTAGGTGAAATAACTTATTTTTGTCTTTTTTTGAGTAATATTAAAAAAGTCATAATCCAGTCAAGATTCATCCAAATTATGTCAGAATACCAAGATGTACCCTATTTTACCTGTTCACTTTTTACTTGAGAGTAGTAAAAAACATTGTTGTACTTCGGAAGATTTCTAGAAAACCTTTTAAAAAACAAAAGTATTTACTGTTGATTTTAAAGCTTTCATTGAACTTTATAATATTAAGCAGGTAAAATAGAGTACATCCTGGCATTCTGGCGTAATTTGGATGGATCTTGACTGGATTATGACTTTTTTAATATTACTCAAAAAAAGACAAAAATAAGTTATTTCACCTAATATAGGTTTTCCCTAGGCTTTTGAAACTGTTTTGAAAAACAAATATTGCCACGAGATTCGGCGTGGTCAATTACCTATGTTTCCATCTATTTTCGAAATTAGCTAACAATATCAGCTTTTTAATCTGGGAAGTTGCCTGAATATACACTAATTTCATAGTGAGTAGGATCCTTCTTTTGAAAAATTTGCCCTTTTCCCCATTTCTTGCTTTACATCTCTCTATACTCCCTAAGAATAATTGAAAATTTTTAATTGATGTTAGTGTCATTTTATCTTTCCCTTCGGAACTATTCATAAAATTAACTAGATTAATCAATGATAAATCTGCTTATGGTAACTTTCGAAAAAAGTTGACACCTTTCTTCGTTAGGGTGTACGTATTATTATACACTGTGAATTTTGTACCCGATTCAATTTTTACATTTTTTAAATATGAATACAGTATTAATATCATACATTGTCCTTTGTTTTGTAAATTTTCTTCTGCACCACCACCAGATGATAGCAACAATTCATCAACGAATTGTAATAATGATCTTTCACCAATTAGAGTAGATGATAAATCTAATAAGATGAAAGAAATTAATAAGTATAACTTTTCGTTGATTCTTCTCATCAAGTATCTGTTGTTCCATTGTTCGTTCCATCGTCTTCCATATCAATTGAAATTCATCTACAATCATATTCGTTGGCTGTTCAATATGTCCTCGTGGAAAAAAATAGTTGCACATAGTATTTTTAAGATATTTTCCTTACGAAAACATACTTTTACAAAAGTGACCCCATATTCTGATAGAGCTTGTAATTCTTTACTATTCTGTATATTTATATCTTGTCTTGCATTTATTTGCTGAAAAACAAATTGAGTGCAATGACGGCCCCCACATTATCAGATTCCCACGCACTGCATTTTGTTACTATTTCTTTAACTTGCTTTTTAAATTTATTATCACTATAGAAATTCCTTTTTATAAAAGTAATTATATATTCTAATAGCGCCTAAAATTCTCTATCATCCTATATATTTATGTCTTGTCTTACATTTATTTGCTGAAAAATAATTTGAGTACAGCGAAGGTACGGTACCCCCAACTGACAAGTATCAAAAAGGTGCATTTTTTCGCTACTTTTTTAGTCTTTTTCCACACCATCAGTTCTAAAAGATTTTTTACAGACCACGAGAAAGAGCACATTCAGAAGTACAAAAAGATCTGACTTCTCACTTTCGCAACCCTTTTTTTACGGAAATAGTAGCAAAAGAAAAACGTCCAGGTGGAAAAAAACAGATTTTCAAAGTTTTCATTTTTTTCGTCTTTCGTATAATCTGCGCAGTTTTCTTGCTTGAAGCTCTAAAATTAAAGGTTAGGTATGGTTTTATAGAGCATTTCGCGGCGCATCTTTTTAAAAAAACATTAACCCTTGGGTCCTAAAGAAACACGAGAAAAATAGAAAATATTGAGATGCCACACTCATTACAATTTCTGGGAATCTGACGATGCGGGGACCGTCATTGCACTCAATTTGTTTTTCAGCAAATAAATGCAAGACAAGATATAAATATACAGAATTGTAGAGAATTCCAAGCGCTATCAGAATATGCGTTCGTTTTTGTAAAAGTATATTTTTATAAGGAAAATATCTTAAAAATACTGTGTGCAACTATTTTTTTCCACGAGGATATTTTAATAACCACTGGTTATCTGCAGTTCGTAATTTATCATCACATATCACTTGTAATTCTTTTCGATTTAAATTTTGTTGCACTTTTAGTGTACTTGAAATTATCTTCTGTGGACTTTATGTTAAATTCCGTCGAATAGTATTTACTAGACCCTTAACGAAATGTTCACCGTTTTCATTGTCAAATGCTGCATCCGGTACAATCATACTATTGAAATAGTTTAATGGCGATGATTTTTGCCTAGTTAACGTATGAATCTGTTCATTAAAAAGATGTTGTTGTTCACGATAATATAATGCTGTAAGTAACAGAAATGCATTTGAATGTACGACCGAAGCGACATTCATTGATAATGAAAGACCGAAAACATTTAATTCAAGATTTATATCATTTATTATTGCATTAATGAAATTGGCAATTTTTTGTATCAAATCAATTTCCGCTGGATGTAAAACTCCTTTATCTTCAACTAATTTCGTTAGTTGTTGATAAATTTCATCGAAAAATGCTACTAATTGTAAAATGTTTGATAAATGTAATGGATCAACTCTAAGTTCAGTTATTATTGCATCTCTTATTCGTTTTCTGAAATCAATCTCAAGTGCTTTTGGTGCTGCTCTTGTCATAATTTTGGATGCTGAAGATGAGCCGCCTGTCATGAATGATGCAACCGTTGTAACACCTTTTATTAATTTGTTTGACGATTGCCACTACCATTCGGCGATTGACACATATCGGATAAAGTTTCTCTCTCGTTTTCAGGTAGATGATTAATTAACACGTCCTGATTTATGAACTTAAAATTTAAAATTGTGGATAGTGTAAAATTCGATGTTATTTTAAATAATCTCAAATTGTTCAATAGCACTATCTTTAAGACGTATTAATTCATAAAAAAAACGTCTCTTAATTTTTGAATTAATTCAATCCAATTTTCTGATACTATCAAATTTTTAATAGTTTGAAATCTAACTGAAATAATATTTTCATGTGTTGGCAGTGATGATCATTCAAATATACTATAATTTGATTAGACAAATTTTATGACATGTATTTAATTGCTCAGTATTTTTCTCGTAGTAAAAAGTTATTTTTTGTTCAGTAAATAGTTTGAAAAGCTCAGTAATTAATTTAAAAAGATTTAGTATTAAGGGTGTGGATGTGTGCCTTCCTGTATAGCTTAGCGGCCTCGAAAATTACCTGGAATCACGTTTCCAGCTGCAGTTCCGATTGCTACAACTGAGAAAAAACGATTTCGGTACCTTTAACGATTCCAAAGTGGTTTTTCCACGGTTCGCCCTCACCCCGCACTCTAGTCCACAACTACAGCCAAACTTCACACTCTCCACTCCTCCCACACGCACAAATTATTAATTTATACTGATAGTTTGATTTATTTACTGTTTGCAAGTTACATGATACTGAGCGTTTACATTAAAATACTGAGTATTTCATTTGTTTCCAAATTTTATTGCCATTCGAATTCGTTCCTCGACATTGAAACTACTTTCAATATAATCGATCTTCTTCTTCCACATTTCTTCAAATTTATTCTTAGCTGCATCTTTCGTTAATGTTTTTTCATTTTCTATTACAGAATCAATTGATGCTTTTAATTCAGCAGCACCATCACGTACCAAAACTTCCGTTTTCTATCGTATGCTTGAATTGTAGCAGTACACCAAGCATCCTTTGTACCTGTAATTTGTCGTTTTAAAAATGCTATACTTCGTTCACGAATACGTTCAGAAGTATTCTCTAATTTAAACAGATTTTCTAATTCTTGAGTAAGATTATCTTCATAATTTTTAAATTGTTTCTGGTACAATTTTCTGATTTAAACTTCAGGTAAATTATAATATTCTTCAATCATTTGATATCGTCGTTGAGATGAAAGATTAGTTGATGCAAGTTTACCAATGATATTTCGTATTCTGTCATCCGTATGTTCTCTATTACTTGTGCCGGGCTTCGATGTACTTATATTTTTCCGTTGATATCGCGAAAGTACGTTAGATCGGGAAATTTTTGTAATATGTCAAATATTGTTATCGACTTCGATAGCCATTGTCTGAAAGTAAGCAGATATCTTAATCAGAACAATATTCAACTATAAATCATATTTTACTTCTTCCTAATTTTAAATGAGTTCTAAAACTTAGTAAAACAACAGTGCACTATGCAAACAATCCAGACTTTTCTTTCTCTTCAAAAGTTTCAAAAAGTACTTATGGCGGAGTAAAATTTGCATTATCTGCACTATCGTAACAAATTTTTGCTGATTTTACAATTTTTGATACTAATTCTTGTGTTTTCTCAAGAAAATCAGGTTCAATACATAGAAGACATGCACTGCCTGGATCATTTGATAAGCGTTCACGTATCCGTTAATAGCAATTGTTTCACCTAAACTCTCATCTTTTAAATCAGCAACAATCTTATTAATAGCTTCCTAATGATTTCTACTATTTGGATCGGTCTTTTGATTCAGCACAACTGTACAGTTGGTTTTGGTACTTTATTGACTTTTAACTGCTTTAATGAATCAGTGCATAGTGTAATCATATATTTTAATCCTTCATTTACATCACCCAATATATTGACAATAACTGAATGCGAAACCGCCAAACAGAACTACACAAGTCGACGATCATATTCCTTATCACTTGTTTCAACTGATAATAGACCTTCGGTATCGATTAATAATATATAATCAATATTTTGAATATTTGACTTAACAAATGAAGCGTATACACCTCGTGTACAACGACCTTCACGTGTTTCAAATAACGTACCTATAGTTTAATAATAACATATAGTTTAATCCTGTACTTTTACCACTATTCTATGGTCCAATAATATTAATTACTAAAATACGTTAATTAGTAAAAGAATTCATAACTTCAGTTAAAACTTTTTCTTGAATATGAAATTGATCACAATCAATTAATTCGAATGGAAAACCAGCAATAATATACTTTATATAAGATTCTAATATTAAATTTTGATTTTCAACTAATGTATGATTATAACACACCATTGCATTACGTCAAAATACTTCTAATGGTAGAAATGAATGTGCAACTGTTAATCGATCGCCGCTTAATAAACGTAAAAATTCAGATTTTAATTCAGACGATAATAGACTAATACTCATAAACATATGTTCACCTTTTAATATTTCAATGAATTGTTTGAATATAAAACCCAAACTACGTTTCGCTGGTGACTCCGATAACGGATTTAATTCATTTTCGAATTCGAGTACATCGTGTGTGATCTTAAATATAGTTTCATTATCTGAACCATAGAAATCAATTTTCTTTAGTTTTTGACGTAATTTACATAATTCAAGAAATTTTAAATATAACGAAAAATGATTATTATTTTGATTATCTAGTTCCCTGTCTAATAGACGATTTTTTAATGGTTTAATAATTTTATTCATTTTATTTAGATATTGAATATAGTCGTTCTCTAATAACTTTTCTAAATCAAGTTCGAAATTATCTATATCAACAAAGGTTGTAAATAGATGTAAGTAGCTGGTCACGCAAGTCTTGTATTGTAAATTGTATTTTTCGATTCTGTTTATCTAACATATTTGTTAGCAAATAGATTCTTCCACGATGATGAACAATGCTAATTGTTGTGGTTAATGGTGGAGTCGATAATACATTGGATTGGTTTCATAGGTTTTGAGTGATTCTCAATAATAATCATGTTCTTTGGGGGAATTAATGCAATATACAGATAAATCGATAGCGGCCAATTTCTGATTTAATATATGACAATAAAGTGTAAAAGTGTCACTATAAACATTGTTTAATAGAATGATACCAACGGCAGGCAATAGTCTTTCCATTAAACAGTCTAAAATCGAAGTGTATCAGCGGACCGATCGGACGCGTTTGTTTTGTATATTTATAAACTTTTATTGACAAGCAAAAATAGCTGTTTGTTCTTCTACAGAAATTCGTAGTCTGCTCATATTTAATACGATTAAAACACGTTTATAGTTTTTCACAAAATGATCAAAAATACGAGAATGAATGTGAATTTTGGTTATATGAATTTAGAATGAAACTGAAAATTGAGTAGAAACTTACAAAAATATATGCAATTTACTTTCCGATCGTCTGCACTGCGTTTTACTAATGAACAACGGAATAATTGCTTCATCATTGTCGCGTAGCGGACGATATGATATACAGATTATGTATATGAGTCTAATAAGAATAAAAAATACTGTCAAGTGACGAAGTTCATAACACAAAGAAATAATGGACGTACAACAAGATAATCTTCGACGTTTTCGTCTTACCAAATTGAAAAAAATTTTAGGCTTAATTAATATTCTTCAAACATTAATTACAAATGCTACGCTACAACCTGCTAGTCTTATTTTCGTTTATACTCTATTTTTGTTATCAATGCTAAAACTTGTTACACCTGTTATCATCCCTACGTTCTCAAACACTGCAACTGATCATCTTCAGTCATTACAAAAGCTTTATCAGATACCTAATTACCGTAAAGCGTTTAGAGATGATAAATGAGAGTACCGGTGGATGTGTACTTAACTTGTATAGCTCGATTAAAACATTTTAATCTGACACAGTCCTTCTCCAGTCTGCTTTATGTGGAGCCGTCTATTGTTCATTAAATCATCAAGATCCTTTGAGTGGAATACATTGTCTTACCGAACAGGTGGGAGCATCTATCGGGCTTTCTCACTCGTCTACGAAGGAAGCTTCTTATTAGTTGTCGTTCTCGTCATCATAAATTAGAGACACGGTCCATCATGGTCGCTTCCTTGATATATATAATAATTATTTATTTACAGAACCATTTTGACATAGCCATAGCGTATATCACTTCAAAGCAGTCCATTGAAAGTCTGGCATACATTATTTTTATGAGTGGTTCAACTGGCGTACCGAAAGCGGTAATTGTTTGACCTACATGAAGTCATACAACTATCCTCATTTGCTCTCTATTTTCAGGTCCCAATCAAGCATCAACAATTCGTCGCACATATACACTCGCTGAATCATTCTGTTACAATCGCTGTTCAGGATATTATTTTTCAAGTTTCTGCAAGCGTTTGCGACGTACATGTAAAAGAAATTCTTGGTTGCCTGATCATACGCTCCAGTTTGATGTTACTTCGACGAGAAAGTGGTAACACTGATTTGCACTATTTAACATCTGTCGTAGAGCGAACACAGGTGACAGTCACTGGACTCGTACCGACGACGATACAACTTCTCTACGAATACCTGTCACAGTCCAGAAACTGCTATTATTTTCACAAGTTGCGTACTGCTCGATCGATTTGGTCTACTGGTAAGTACTCGTTCTCTCCGTTAAGTTGTTCGACTCTCTATTTTCGTCGTCTAGGTGAACCATTGACATCATATAGTCTATCAAAATTATTAAAAAACATACCATTTCTGCAATGTCAAAATTTTTACGGTGCAACAGAATGCACAGTCCAATCGATTTACCATACAGTCATAGCGAGTGATTTAGACGAACAACAACCGCACAATAATATACCGTGCAGTAAACCGATTACAAATGAGCGAGTCTATGTTTTAGATGACTATTTACAATTGGTTTCAATTGAAAATGATGGAAAAATTTATCTAGACGGTGAGTAGAGAAGAAGAACTTTCATTTACAGAATGACTGATGACAAAGCATTTTTCTTGCTTTTAGGACCTGGAGTATTCGATGGATATCATGAAGAGATCAACTGTTCCAATCATAAAAGGCAATATCTTGTGCCAAGCAAGTACTGTAGTGATCAACGGCAACAACAACAGAAAACGCTAATGTATTTTACAGGTGATTTAGGCTGTATCGATTCTAAGGGTCGTTTAATAGTGAAAGGACGGGTAGATTATCAAATAGAATTACGTGGTCAACGTATAGAAGTCGCTGAAATAGAAATGACACTTTTACAGTATGACAATCTGATAGTTAAAAATTGTGTGGTAACAGTGTGCGTCGTCAATGGACAAACAAAGACTCTTATCACTCTTTGAAAGAGTGAATGTTTAGTAGCTTATCTTCAAGTTTACCTCAGTTCCGACGATGATGATAATAACTTTAAACAATCCAGTGAAGAGCAGATTAAACTTTATTGTCAACAGCATTTACCTTCTTACATGGTTCCATCTTATTTTATTTTGATGAGTGACTTTCCATTGAATCAGAATGGTAAACTAGATCGAAAGAAACTGCCATTGCCTGATTTCACTAAGCTGTACAAAGAAAAGGGGTATTCTTGTTTCGTCGACAGTAATTAAATTATTCTTGTTTCGTCGACACTAATTTCTTGCTCGTTTCGTCGACACTTTTTTTATCTTGATTCATCGACAAAATGTTTTTAATCAATTAAACTTGATTCTTGTTTGTTTCACTTTTTTTTATCCGTTGTAAAACATGGAATTATAGTTGCAATTATTAAAATGTATACTACAATTTAAAATTTGAAAACAGTTGATAAAATTCAATAGAAAAGATCAACTGAGCAATTATAACGTTTTTATTTCAAAATGATCATGCATACAATATAGTCTTGTAAAACATTTGACAAAAAGATCAAAACTTTTTAACACCTATTGTTTTTGATACCCTACACAAAAAGTCATTTAAATTTATACTGTGTCGTTTATATCTATCTTCTAAATTATGTAAACGGTGATTACGATTAACATATAATTTCTTACGTGGCGGTAAACTATTTTGCTTTGTACAAATTTTTTTCAAGGCTATATTATATGCATGATCATTTTGGATTGATTGGATAAATGTATAAAAACCGGGATGAGCAACATTATTAAGTGATGAGTTAAGTCGATAATGCCAACCTTCAACATTGTTATTGGTTCGACAACTGGGAAAATCATAATAATTCCATAAAGAAATATCAAATAAGCTATCTTCAATCCAAGTTTCAGTGACATAATCAAAAAAAGGCGTGATTCCATTAATAGTATCATACTCATCCATTGTTTGACTCCATAAATCTTTCACAGTAGTTGGTGGCATAAATGCTACTGCAGAAGTTTTTCTGTAAAGATTTCTAACATTAATTTCATTCGGATCATCATTGGCACTAGAATTAATAAATGCAGACTGAAAACCTAAATTTTGTAATTTTATGTAGAAACATTTATTAAAATGGAAATTACAACCTTTGATCTTGGCATTTGGAAATAATAATTCACATGCAGATATAGCACCTTGTTCAAAATCTAATGTGACAAATTTTGAATTTAAAGTAATACTATTTCGATAGCATACGTTTTGGATATCTTGAGATAAAGAAATGTAAGTGTTTTTCTCTTTACGAGGAAGTAATGAGTATAATTTTGATGACGATAGACCATCATTCACACTATGTATTGTATAAACTTGATAATATGGAACAGGACATGACTGAAATATTCCATCCATTAATATATGCTCACTTTTACTTAATTCATCTAGAGATTCTATTGTTCCAAATATTAGATTTTGAGTATCTGGTAACAAAAACGGTTCATTATTTAATGTTTGATTCCACTTACCATCTACTTTCACATCAGCCAAAGTTTTAGGTGGTGGAGGGAAACTTTCGTTTCGTGCTGAATATAACGACGTTTTAATTTATTCAAACATAGGTATTAACTGAACTTGACCAGGATTTTTTGTTTGCAGTTTAACTAATTCTTGTCTAAATATTTTTCTTACTGGTTCTGGTTCTTCTCTAATGCGTTTCTTTACATTTGCTGTAAATTCTTCAACGTTGCATTGATCTTGGTTAGGACTGTGACTATGTTGTTGTGTTTCTTTTGGATCATCCGAACATTTTTGTGATGCACGACCAGTACATGAACGATCTTCACATTTCCAATATGTGTTATTATTTCTTACCCGATCTTGTGTATAACGATAACCGTTTAAAATTAAAACTGCTTTTTTACGTTTGCTGTCGACGATGGAAAACATATAATACAGTAAAATGTAAGTGATAGGTAGCATTCTTGATAAGTTGATGATTTTGTGAGCCCTCAGGTTTGCTGTACAAGTATATTTATACATATTTTATTATCAACTACAACTGTTTTCTGTACACTATTAGTTTTGGTAAAGAAATCCGTTGCTCAGTTGATCTTTTCTATTGAATTTTATCAACTGTTTTCAAATTTTAAATTGTAGTATACATTTTAATAATTGCAACTATAATTCCATGTTTTACAACGGATAAAAAAAAGTGAAACAAACAAGAATCAAGTTTAATTGATTAAAAACATTTTGTCGATGAATCAAGATAAAAAAAGTGTCGACGAAACGAGCAAGAAATTAGTGTCGACGAAACAAGAATGGATCCAAAGAAAATGTTGACGACGATTATATAGAACCAAGCAACAAACTAGAGCGTGAAGTACACGATCTATGGTATCAAGTCTTTAAACAGAAAATAATATCGATGAATTCAAATTTCTTCTGGTTAGGAGGCAATTTTCTTCTTCTCATGAAATTGTATAATTTTCACCAAACTCACTTTAAATTGAACACGAAAAACGTTAGTATAGCACAGCTGTTCCAACAGTCCACACTTAATGAGTATGCACAGTTAATAATGGTGAATCAAGCGAATGAAAATATTGCTGATCGGTGAACACCGTTGAACATTGAAGAAGGTACTTCTATGTATCTAACTGTCTATTTCTTCCATCCGTGTTTCAATCACAAATCAAACATGTAATATCAGACTCGACTTTCGTAAGAACGTAGACTCATAAGAAGATCAATTAGTCCACTCAAGTAAAAGTAAGATTTTTACAGCAGCTTTATATAAAGTCATTTGAATATTTATTTATTGCGACGTTTTGAAAATTTATATTTTCATTTTCAAGGAGTGTACAAATAGAATATTATGAACGCACAACAAAATGATTTTTCATTCATATATATACATGAAAACAGAGATGAAATAAACTTCGTTTATCACCCATCAATAACTCAAATGTTCAGTCCACTCAAATTTTATTACATCTAATGGTTTAATTCTGTAGAAAGTTGTTTGATAACAGGTCTTGTCACTGGCAAATTTTGCAAGATCTTTTCCTTGGATTAAACTTCAAGCAGAGTAGTTCAAAAATTTAATGGAATACTGTGCAGTTCAGCTTGAAAAGCACGAAAATTTTTTATCAAGATACTTGTTCTATAGAGAACCCTCTAGGAAATTGTTAATCGAAGTAATAAACCAACTTTTACGTAGCACGGTAAATGAGTGACTGAAAAAAATCTATTAGTTTATGTATAATGGTTGCATTGTCGCAGGTGCAGATTTTAACACCGCCCACCATTGAAACATGAATTTTTTTCTAAAGACTGAATAAGTTCTAAATGTCTTTCTTATGAATAACTTGAAGCAGAAGTTTCTCGAAAAATATTAATAGTTTAGGTTTAGACAATTTTCTATGCAAATAAATTGTTACAAATACTTTGGCCTTTTTCTGTCCCGTGAGATTGAATCTCGCGTATCTCAGCTAAAACTAAACGTAATCGTTATGAAAAATAGCCAAAAGATAGTCTTCAGTTTGGGAATAATTTTGATAAAAGAAGTGAAAGATCAATGCTCTCCTTACTGTAAAAGTGACAATTGCTTTTCTAGAAACGAGCTTCACATATTAAATGTCCCGCGAAATTTTCGATTTTGTTTTTCTGAAATCTCAGTTCACACTCAAGTTTTCTCGACGATTTTCTTATCCTTTTTTCCTACGATGATGTAGAGAATATCCCCAAATTTGAAGCCCAAAATATTTTGTCATTCCTGAGAAAAATCACTTTTACTAGAAAAATGTTTCGTGAGATTTTTTGAGATACAAATGTCCGGTGAGATTAAAATGACAATATCTTTATGAATAAAAAAGAGAATTTCAACATATCATACACCATTCGATATGCCGAAAGTTGAAATATTTTCTGAGATGCACGCGAAAATTTTGCCGTACGCTTGACAGTTTCACGAACTCGGGCTCTCTTCTTACCTTTCATCCGACTGTATTTTAGTGTTTGATTTCACAATATTTTCATTCATGGGGGCATTTTCTATCCTAAAATTGTTCCCTTGACTTTAGTCTAGGGTCTTACAAAATGGGTGTCTCTCTGTGTAGCCTGTGTGTGTCTGTACGCAAAATACGGAAAAATGGTTGTCAGATATTCCATGGTTAAGCCAATCAGAAGAAAGGAAAAATAGAAAATTCCTTTTTAACCACGAGAGAGAAAATATTTAAAGAGATGACTGAAATAATATTTACTGATGCAGAGAGAAAAAAAGCTAAGCAAACTTTTTCTGTAGTTGGGAGATAGATGTAGGCCACAAATAGGTCGATTTTGATAACACAAAAAGGTCATCTACGGATAATAAAAGTTAGAGAATATAGATAGTCTATCATGACTTATCGGTCAGACATACTTGCAGTCCCCCTTGGGATCTTCAGAAGGTGTCCAGAAAACGTTTTAGCTTTATATTTGTGCGCTTTTTCCGTGGAATCAGAGAGGTTCACAACATTTCTCACCTATCCTGGCTGCGAACGGCGACCGAAGGGGGACTTCCAAAACTTACTGTTTTTTCATCAGAGCTCCATCTACTCTCGTCAAAACCTACTATTTTTTCACTACAACTCCATGTTTTCTCGCCTTTGATTCGCCTAAGTTCGCCTAATAACCTTGGTACACAACAATCTTGATTGGGAGAGTTCCTAGAAGACTTACGCTGAAAATGACGTTTTTCATTTTGAGACAAACGAAAAATACACATTGTTTGTATAATACTTCAATATATAGAACGGAGCGAACGTTATGTTCAGTGTATGTCTTATAGGAACACTCTTAATAATGACTCTTCGTTCTGAGACCAAAACCCATAAAAATTATTTCTAACGTATTCGACAAAAACAAAAGTTCAGAGAGCTGAAAGAAATTAAACTAAAGATGTCTGCGAATTTCAATGTTTAATTTAGAATAATATTTGGAATATTTCTGACAGTAGCACCGCTCTACATTTAGTTTTATTGCTCGGGAATAGGGGTGAAACAGTTCTGGTTCAGTTCTTTTGAATGGTAACTGGTTAGCCGTTCTCGTTCCTAAGAACAGGAACTGCTGAACGTTCTTTTCAAGAATTCAAAATAAAATAAAACTCATGAAGCTAGTTATATAGTCGTTGTTTAGTGCGCCAAAGGTAGACGGTAAGGTGCCGGCAATTCGAACTTTCAGTAAAAAAGTTTTTCTTCGTCTTTTTATATATGGTTCGGTAGAGCGCGATGAACTGAGTAAGAAAAAGTGTTTTTTAACTTTTGAAAAAAATTCTTGATAGTTGAAAAACTTGAATGACCCATTTTTTCGAAAATCCGTTAGTTTTAAGAAAACTGAATTTTTTCCCGTTCACAGTTCCTTTCAACTTTTGAAGCTACATGTTTTGGATTCAGCATTAAAAACTGAATATAAAAATGATGTTTAATTGAATTCAAACTCAAAATCCGACTGAGTCTGGTTCTGGGGATTAGGCCATTGAAAATCGTACATGCCTCTCTTGTAAATCTATCTAGCTTTTTTGTGAAGAGATGAAGTCGATTTTTTTCCTTCATTAGAACCGCCATTAAACGAGCTTTAAAAGTATGCATCGCTTTTTTTCCATTTTGCTTTGTCACTGAGAAAATTCATTTTCTCTAAATTAGCAGCGAAAAAGTGAAAATTCTGCCTGTAATTCTCAATTTTCTCCACCAGAACACAACTTTTATGCAATACAAATACCATATTCGGAATCAGTGTCACAACTGAGTCGAATGATATACTTTTTTATCCTATTCGACTACTTTAATTTTTCCTAAATTTTCACATAGCAAAATTGCTAACATTTTCACCAAAAAATGAAACTCAATGAAACATTTTGAAATATATATCATTCGACTCAGTTGTGACACTGATTCCGAATATGGTATTTGTATTGCATAAAAGCTGTGTTCTGGTGGAGAAAATTGAGAATTATGGGCAGAATTTTCACTTTTTCGCTGCTAATTTAGAGAAAATGAATTTTCTCAGTGACAAAGCAAAATGGAAAAAAAGCGATGCATACTTTTCTGATATTCTGGTTTATAGAAAAAATTTTGTAACTGATTTATTACCTTTTAAATCTTATACAAAAAATACGTGTGCTTAGTTTTCAAACTTTTTGTTTTTCATAGAAAACCAGAATTAAATTTACGCTCTTTTATAACAAAACTAAATGTTATTGTTACGCCCCGTAATCACCCAGTGAGATGTTATATCACGACAGAACGGAAAAAGACCACTGCCCGACTGAGGAATTGAACCCCAGACCTTCCGATTACCG